TAAATATTGTTAACATGTTTAAATTTAACTTCAATGAAGATGTACCCTAGATAAGTGACAATTGTCATAATCGTTATTTTAAAAATTTTTTGATTTTTTTTGACACAAATGGGTAAAAATATAGATTGTAAACATGTTAAATTAAAATTTTATGAAGATGTACCATAGAAAAGTGACAATTGTTATAATCATAATCTTTAAAGTTTTCTGAATTTTTTTGAAGTAATTGGGATAAAGTAAGTATTACTAACATGTTTAAATAAAATTTCAGTGTAGATGTACCATAGAAAAGTGACAATTGTCACAATCATTATTTTTAAAGTTTTTTAAATTATTTTGCAGTAAATGGGTTAAAATAAGTAGCTGTTCTAAGAAAAAGGAAAGTGAAATAACTAATTGACTAACTCAAAATAAAATACTACTAAAAATGAGATTGAAATTGGCAAAAATATATATTTTATTGACGTAATAATTTTCAACACTATAAAAATGTAAGATAAAAAGTAATTGTTCCAAAGTTATAAAAAATTTAAACATGTCGTTGATAATAAAAATTTTTATCAAAAGTCCAATAAAAAAAAATTGAATCAAAAATATTTTAAAATATGTTTGACATATCTTTGTTTAAAAATATAAATAGCTACTGGATAAAAATCCGTTAGCTTTGATTGGCATTTATTAAAACGAAAGCTAAAATATACATATAATTACGACAATTAGATCATATTTTCCATTTATAAATTCCAAATATTCGTATAATCTGAAAAAATAGAAAAAATTATTTTTAAAAATAATCGCAATACGAGATAGACAGAAACAATTTGCGATAATTCCCAAAAGGGAACATAATTATATCCATATGTTTATATTTGAATTTTTTTGACGTATATATATATAAAGATTCCTTGGCTTCGTTTGCAAAATGGCGAATTTAATCTTTTGCTCATAGGAATCGATAATTCTATGATGAGAGAAGGGTGTTTTGTCCTTGAATATCGGTCTGCAACATTTTGAAGGTCAGGAGTAGGTCTGTAGAGACCAAGAGTATTTTTTTTACACTGATTAGGGTTAGATGTTTTATATAATGTCTCATTAATTATAAATTCCCTAGGATGAGGCTAAGTCTAGTCAAAATATAAAGTGTAACATCAGCAAAAAAAATAATTTCTATTTTAATTAATCCTCATTCTATTGAAATTAAAATTAATCGAGGGGGAAAAAAATAAAATAAGTTAAACACTGGTATTATTATATAAAAATAGCTAATATAAAATTTTGGTGAAGTTCTTTTTTGTATATTGGAAGGCTAAAGATAAATTAAATAATGTCATAATAAAAAATAATTTTTTCATAAATTACATGGATTCAATCAAAGGAAAATGTTTTTTAATTGGTTGTAGTATATGTTGAACGGATCAATTTGAGCCGATTTTTTTAAAAACGGCTAACTCAATATTTTATCCAGAAAAATATATTATGCAGGCCTAAAGATTTTTCTCAAAGATGGCACATAGGATTGAACATCTATTGGCGAAATCTCGACGTTTAGGCGATATTTTTCTGGCTTTAATGTTGAGTTATCCGTTTTTTTTTGAGAAGCATTCATAGCACCCTTTTGGGAACATTGTCAATCATAATTTTACCTTTGCATTCAGCTAGCAACGCATCGTTGGGATATTTCGACATTCTCACAATAAAAAATCTGCCACATATTTAATGTTTTTTTTATCTATACCAAGATTTGAAATAGAATTAGGGAGAATCCCTTAGTAATAATATTTACAGATATGTATAAGAACTGACTGATTACATCAAGAACACCTTTCCTTCAATTGAGTTTATAAAAGTATCCGAGAAGGAGAATAAAGGCATTTTATTTTATAGTATTTTTCGACTGACTCTATCCTGCTACAAGTCAATTTAGACATAATATTAAATTCACAGAGCTCCGCTTTGGACTTCAACACATTACAATTTATGAAAATTTGACACCTATATTTGTACCCTCATTCTCTTAAGTTTTTCAATATTATGCTTTCAGCAACTATTCTCATAATCTCAATCAAATCGATATCAATTTTTTTTTTTGAAATATTATATTACTTTAGCTTTTGCAGCGCAAAAAGATTTTCTTTTTCAAAAGATTTGGATGGCTAATTATAAAAAGGTTAGAAATTTGATCCATATTAATTACATAGAATAAATTAGTAGTCCTATTTATTTCTGCAGCAGTGGCACCCACTAGCCTTTACAATCTCAGGAGGTTCCAAAAGACATTACCAGTTTTCTGGGGGTATAAAAAAGGCGTACGCCCCTTCCTAGTGGTACTACTCCTCAGTCTCATATGTTATAAATAAAATTGGAATATATATGCGACAAGAGGTTTGAAATCACTGGAAAAATATTTTAGCCAGCATTTAAATATTTGGCTTGGGAAGGTAGACCCTCTACTCCCCCCCCCTTCGCTGCTGCTTACACAGGCCTGACTATTAGGAATCAGCAGAAGAAACTTAAATATAAGAAATATGAATTGGGAATTCAAATCTAAACAAATGTATAATGTATTTTTTTTTGCCATTTGGAATTTAATGAATTTATAAATATTTATTATATTAGAAAAAACATGCCATTTATTAAATACGAGATATATTTTTGCCAAAAATATTTATATGTTAGTTTCGATTTAATGGGAGGACATTTTTGGGGTCAAAGTTATATATAATATATTGATATTATTATTTTTTTTACAAGATTATATATGAAATTGATATTTTTTTTAAAAAACCAAATTATTACTTTTTTTATATATTAAATTTATTATCTTTGGGGGAATTCAACAGAGAATCGATAAATCATCAAATGAACTCCCACTGTTGTATCAATTAATCGCGATAACTGGAAAAGAACAGAAAGTTGTTTGTAAATTTATTAAATTGCCATAATTGCCTCCTTTTAAATATAATTTTTTAATTTTTTTATCATAAAGCCAATGTTTTTCACAAACAAAATTTGTTTTTAATCTATTGTATATATATTATATAATGTAACATTGGACTGATTAATACGGTAAAACTTCCTTAATTAAGCCAAATCTATTTTATATTTTTTTGAACTATCATGATTTATCAATGTTTATATATTGGAATTTTTTATTTCCCTAACAAAAAAAAATTTTTTAAATAGGTTTTCTGCACGTTTAGATATTAGAAATAATCTTAATACGAACTAAATTTAAAGAAAATATATTAATATAAAAATTTAAGTTAATTCCAACCCATTAAGACTAAGAGTGATATTTTGTGAGTCAAAATATATTTAAATTAGCTTATACTTGAGACCCATATTAAAATTCTTTGTTAAAATATTACTGATTACCTATGGCTAAAATTATATATTAAAATATTTCCAAGCGTCCAAGACCTTAATAATTTTGAAAAATATTTCCCAAGCCCACCCCAAAATATACCTGACAATGGATGAACCAGAAATTTTCCTATCTTATGAGATGTCATTCAGAAATTTATATTTATTTAGATGAGGGTTTCTCTAAAATTTTCCATTATTTTTATAAAATATGTTTATAAAGTATATATTTAGTTATTTTAATTTATGTGCACAATAAAAAACTTTCAAAATATTAAATTTTTATTCATTTATATTTATAATTTATAACCTAAAACATTTACATTTTCCCTTATAAATATAATGCTATTTAAAATAAATATTAATATGATAGATGGCGCTAAATAATTTATATATTTATAATTTAACATAACTTAAATTGTTCAAATTGTGTTAATATTAGGTAAATCTAATTAAGAATCACTCCCAATTTCAGTAGGACGAATCTCCAATAATTAAAAAAGAAATAGATTATTAAATGATTTAATAACAAAAATATATTTGACTATAATCAGTAACTAATTTATATGTTATGATTTTTATTGGATGAGTATTTTTTTAAAAATTCTATTGTTTTTTTTTAATATATACGGGCCGGGCCTAAGATTGTTGAACCCGGGCCGGGCCTTAATATTTTTTATAAAAATTTATACATTATTTAATGGTTATAAGATTATATTATATTATAGTTATGATCAATATAATATTGGGTGATGGTTAACACTACCTAACACCCACAGATCGATCAAATTATTGTTTTCCTGCCAATTAAATTACGCATTAAAGAATTGAATTTTTTATAATTCAGCATCCAAGTCTATAGCTTATATTTTACTAAATTTATTAGTTTTATTTTTTTTTAAATGTTTTAGATAACCCCTTATCTAAATAAATATAAATTTCTGAATCACATCTCATAAGATAGGAAAATTTCTGGTTATTCCATTATCAGGTATATTTTGGGGTGGGCTTGGGAAATATTTTTCAAAATTATTAAGGTCTTGCACGCTTGGAAAGATTTTAATATATAATTTTAGCCATAGGTAATCAGTAATATTTTAACAAAGAATTAATATGGGTCTCAAGTACAAGCTAATTTAAATATATTTTGACTCACAAAATATCACTCTTAGTCTTAATGGGTTGGAATTGGCTTGAAGGGGGAAGGGGGCAAAAAGAATAAAAATTGGATATTTAAATAAAAGGTAACATTTGTCGTAAAAGAACAAAGAAAATTCTTATCCTCCGTCATTTTTGAAGGGCTATCTACTAGTATTATTATAATATTTATATTAAATAAATAAAACTTGTCAATTAATAAAACCAATTTATCCTCATCCACACATACCCCAGTTACCAGGTATTTTTAATATAAATGAGAAAATATATGCAAAAGATTTAAAAAAAGATAATTGGATACCAGGTATCATCGTTAAAAGAACAGGACCAATGACGTTTTTAGCTGAAACTAAATTAGGGGTATGGAGAAGACATATTAATCAGTTAAAACATAGGTTCGACGACTCCGATTTAAAAAATAGAGAGGAAGGAAAAGAAGACGAAACGATGCAAACTGAATATTAAAGTATAGAATTAACCCTTTTTTTCGGAAGTGTTCTTGGAAGATCCAGGTATGTCCTACAATAAAAAAAAATATAATGAATAATATTTCATTCTAAAATACTAATGTTACATTGAACCGTCTATTAAAATGTCACGTGGAGACACACATTAAGGGTGGTAACCACGTCTCAAGATAAAACACGAATCCGAATAGGTTTCAATGTTAAAGGACCAACCTTTTATGTGTTATCTTGTTCAAAATCTTATGTCAGGTTTATTTTTATTTTAAAATTTTAAAAGTTTGGAACCAGAACATGTTTTTAATTTTTTTTAGTAATTGACACCGCTATTTTTTCAGGTCTGAACTTATCTAACAAAAAAATTTGTCTAACCAATCCGATAATTTATTTTCAAAATTCCATGTTCGACCCTAATTTTATTTTTTGAGAAATAGGCTTTACAATCTCAGGGGACGCTCAGCTTTCTTTTTAAAAAATAAAGGAAATATTATTATACTATTTGCCAAAATCCCACATTTATTTTAAACTACATAAATTAGTATTTCTTTCTAAAACCTTTCGAGTTGCTTCCTCCAACTTAATATCGGATGACTTGGGTAGCATTACTTTCTTACCGAGAGGTGACTCGGCATCGTAGTTTGCTCCTGAATCAGCAAAATTTAGGAGATCAGGATGATTTGTATTATCCGTGTGTTTGTTGTCACTGTGGAGGGTTTTTTTGCCATGTCAAAATCGCGAATCTTGGGAAAAATTTTGAGATAATTTTATCTATTAAATAAAAAAATATAATTATAATATTATGAACCCAATGGATATAGTAATATGTATATAGTGACCTAATAGATATTGACTATTAGTTGTTAAATATCTAATTATATAAATGTTGTATCTGTATCTCATCAGATATATTTCTAACAGTATCTTTCATTAGATACATTTTATTGTAATAGGTTCTTTATTGATATTTAAATAAAATTGGGGATCTTGACATTTCCCCCCATTTTTAGCGAATTTTTTAAAAACTCCATTATTTTAAATATCCCTTTTAAAATTTTCTTGGATATAAACAAAATACTAAATTAATTTTGGTTTTATTGATTTAGAATGGTACTCATTTTTTTATATTAAAAACATATCCTATTATTTTGGGACATTTTATTTTCCAAAATATTAATAACATAAAAATATATAGTACAAAGCAGTTGATAAAAGATACTTTTTAAATAGATCTAGATAAAAATACATCACCTAAAAAGATCTATATACCGATATTTTGCCTAAAAAAGTATCTATACACAAATACAATTTTAAAAATGTATCTAGGTGCCGTTGTTCTCGAACAGAAACTCTTATTATGAGAGTAAACATTTTAACATTTTGTTCTTATTCAATTCCAACACCATATAAAAAAATAATGTCAACACCCCTAATTTTATCGTTTTTTTTAAATTCTCATTTAAAAGGAGCATTTATTATAAGAAAAATTTTTACATTAAACTTATAATTTATTAACTAGTTAGTGGAATATCTATAAATTAAAAAAATTTAATAAATTTAGTTGCTTAAAATAATTTTGTGCATCAATTTGTTTTTAATAATTCATGGACGTTATGGCTAGGCAAGAATTTATATATTCCTTTACAAGATAAAAATATCCTTCACAATCTTGAACTGATATCTATAGATTTAAATGGGGAAAAATGTTATGAATATTTATATTTTTTTATATACAAGTTTTAACATTTTATATATAAGTTTTAATATTTTGTATATATATTTTTTTAAATTTTTTTATTATACATTTATTTAAATTATATGCTCATATGAGATAAAATGAATTTTGCATTCAAATATATTTTTAATTTTTCATTTTCATTAAATATTTATTTAGATATGCTCATGAGATAAAATGAATTTTGCACTCAAATATTATTTTTAGGTAACAAAAAACGTTAAATTCCAGTAATATGAAAATGTATCTTAAAATGCTAAAAACGGATATAAAATAGTGTCTAGATATCGATACTTCCTATAAAGTGTATTTCGATACAGACACGATATTTTGTATCTAGATACTTTAACAGCTTTGGCATAAAGGAACGAAAATTTTTAATTAAACATATGATTTTAAATTTTTTATATAAAAATATAGTTCAATCTCATATAAATGTTTTAATTATTATAGGATCCGACTTATTCATCCAATCAAAAACCATTCTCACCACATAATTATAAAAATATTGAATTTTTCAAAATGTGTTTTTTTAATTGAAAACTATAAATAAGGTTTCTATTGAGAATTTTACCATATAGTATCTAAAATATGGACAACTTATTAGTAATAAGAACTTACAGCCCTTTCTCTCTTATGGTATTGTAATTGATCACAAAATTCAATCCATACTTTCTAAAATCTTCAGACAAATCGGCCGGTAAAGTAATTACAACTAAAGGAAATGTTAAACATTAAGGTTAAAAATAATTATAAAAATTTTTTAATAAATGTAAATAATTTCAATAAAAATTAAATATGAAAGAAATTATTTATAATTCTGAAAATAAAAATATAAAATGAAAATTTGTTTTTCCTAAGTTCTCCCAAGTTCTGCAGACGGATTTCATAAATCTAAAATCTATCAAATATAAAGCAAAGTTAGCTCCGTGAAGTTGGCCGAACGATTGGAAGCACTAACGATGAATCATGTGTCATTTTTTAGTGCTTCGTTAGTGCTTGTTAGTGCTTCAATCCGTATAGTAGCCGAATTTAAGGAAAAAAAGTTATAAGCAAAAATAAAAATTTGTGCCAACTTCACGCTTAAAAGTCGTTTTGATATCACCTTATTAGATGCATCTGTTAGAATTGCATATGTTTGCACATCTTTCAAATCGTCAAGAATTGACCTTCTGGATTTATATCCTAAAACATTGATGATAGCCTTGTTTATTTGTGTTCTACAAAGTATAGTTTTCATTTATATTAGTTGTTAAATATTATGGGGAAAGATTCTACCAAAATTGTGATGTTAAGTAGCTCTATGAATGTTGTACTGCATGATAGGTATTTAAATTTCTGGTTCATCCATTATCAAGTATATTTTGGGGTGGGGAAATATTTTAATATATAATATAAGCCATAAGTAATCCTAATCAGTAATATTTTAACAAATAATTTTAATATGGGTCTCAAGTGTAAGCTAATTTAAATATATTTTGACTTACAAAATATCACTCTTAGTCTTAATGGGTTGGAATCGGCCTGAAGGGGGGGGGGGTAAAAAGAATAAAAATTCTATATGATTTTTAAATAAAAGGTAACATTTGTCGTAAAAGAACGAAGAAAATATTCCCCGTCATTTTTGACGGGCTATCTACTAGTAGTTAAATATTAACGATTTATATATATTATTTCTTAAATAAATTAGATGAGACAGACTCGGAAAAAGAAGAGGAAAAAATTTGCAGTGAAGCAAAAAAAGGGTTTAAAAGGTTTAAACAATTTAACCTGAATAGAAAAGGAAAGCTAATAGAAAAACTTGATAAAAAACGAAATAGGAAGAAACAGATAATTAGATCCAAAATAGATAAAAACGTAAAACGCTTAAAAACCATTTTAGAATCCGATGATGAATAATATTTTTAATTTTTTTTGATTTTAAAATATTTTTATTCTATTATATGTATTTATAAATTCTATTTATTAAAGATTATATTGATAATATTATCTATCTTATCTTATCTTATCTAACACATTGGTCATAGTACCTGCACAAGATTAGCGGACGTGAATTATATGAAGGCTTACTTTCATATCAAAAGTGCCTTATCAAGTCATATATAAATTAGGCTGGACGGAATGAATATTGAAAATTTTTCTGTCGAACTCGACGCTCTCTCTAGGAAATCCTAGAGATAGCGTCGAGTTCTTCATAAGGATTTTCGTTATTTATTCCGTCCAGCCTATATTTGTATTGACAGGATAAGGCACTTATGATATGAAAGTGAACCTTCATATAATTCACGTCCGCTCATTTTGTGGCACGGTCATATGACTAACGCCTGTTAGATAATATAGATAATATTATCAATATAATCTTTAATAAATAGAATTTATAAATACATATAATAGAATAAAAATATTTTAAAATCAAAAAAAATAAAAATATTATTCATCATCGGATTCTAAAATGGTTTTTAACCGTTTTACGTTTTTATCAATTTTGGATCTAATAATCTTTTCTTCCTTTTCGTATTTATCAAGTTTTTCGTTTAACTCGCATTTTCTTTTAAGGTTATAGACTTTAAACCTTTTCAATTCTTTTTTAGCTTGTCTACAAATCTTCTCTTCTTCTTTATCGGAGTCTGTCTCATCTAATTTATTTAAGAAATAATATATATAAATCGTTAATATTTAACTACTAGTAAATAGCCCGTAAAAAATGACGGGGAATATTTTCTTCGTTCTTTTACGACAAATGTTACCTTTTATTTAAAAATCATATCAGAATTTTTATTCTTTTTACCCCCCCCCCCCTTCAGGTCGATTCCAACCCATTAAGACTAAGAGTGATATTTTGTAAGTCAAAATATATTTAAATTAGCTTACACTTGAGACCCATATTAAAATTATTTGTTAAAATATTACTGATTAATTATGGCTAATATTATATATTAAAATATTTCCCCACCCCAAAATATACTTGATAATGGATGAACCAGAAATTTTCCTAACTTATGAGATGTGATTCAGAAATTTATATTTATTTAGATGAGGGTTTATCTAAAATTTTCCATTATTTTTATAAAATATGTTTATAAAGTATATATTTAGTTATTTTAATTTATGTGCACAATAAAAAACTTTCAAAATAATAAATTTTTATTCATTTATATTTATAATTTATTACCTAAAACATTTACATTTTCTCTTATAAATATAATGTTATTTAAAATATATATTCATATGATAGATGGCGCTAAATGTCGCCGGGATGGCCCAGTGGTGAACGATGTAGGCTTGGAAGCAGAAGGTCCCAGGTTCAATCCTGGTAAGGAACTAAAAATTTTCAGATTTTTCTTCGATAACAGATGTGTATAGACATATTATAAGATGATTTTCTGAGCTGAGAGATGCCACCCCGGTCACCGACAGGCTTGGACAGCCGGGTGCTAGGATACTGTCCAATAAACCAATTAAGATGGCCAGCTGAACTCGTGGGTCATTCAAGGATGATAACGATCTCTTGGCCAGCGGTAGGATAATGATGACCTCGGGGGCCGTTCAAGCGCAATTTCTACCAAGCTAATAACGATACTCCGGTGGGAGATCCATTGGGATTACAGAATCTATAGGAATACTCCAGTGTTCGGTGTGAGAAATACTCCAGTGGGATATCTGTCGATACCGATACATCTGTGTGAGAAATACTTTAGTGGGATATCTGTCGATACCAATACATCTGTGTGAGAAATACTCCATTAGGATATCTGTCGATACTTCTGTGTTAGATGAAGATAAAATGGCCTCGATAGCGATACTCCGGTGGGAGATCCAAATGGAATCGAAAGACAGAAAATATAAATGAATAATAAATAGATAGAATGAGTTAAAAATAGTTAGCATGAGTTTGAAGGAGATTACCACCATAAAAGGTGAAAGCTATAAAGAAAAAAAAAGATGGCGCTAAATAATTTATATATTAAAGTTTTAATTCAACATAACTTAAATTGTTCAAATTGTGTTTTAGGTAAATCTAATTAAGAATAACTCC